CAACCTCCTTGAACAACTGGTGACTAGACAACATTCGATCCACTTCCGTGATGGACAACCTCCTTGATCAACTGGTGACTAGACAACATTCGATCCACTTCCGTGATGGACAACCTCCTTGATCAACTGGTGACTAGACAACATTCGACCCACTTCCATATTGGACAACCTCCTTAATCAACTGGTGACTAGACAACGTTCAACCCACTTTCACGCATGGACTTTGGATTAATCAACCGGTGACTAGATGACATTTTGAATGGCTTTCGGGTATGGACAACTGGTGATTAGTCGACGACATGGATCACTTCCATGTATGGACAACTAGTAACTATAGACGACGTTTCGACCCGAATAACTGGTGACTAGACGACTTGGCCATGTCCCACTTCTTCGTGTTTTCATCAAGTCAGACCTGATTACAATACTCAGAAGTGGATCTAAACGTCGTCAAATAACTAGTTGACTCGGAGGATTATCAAGTTTTAAATACTATCAACTGTACACTCTCTGTTGTATTAAAACAATGCACGATACTGTTGACAAATGCTAACTGCAGGTTTGCATTACAGAATGATATAACTTCCTATTTCAGGAGACAGTGCAGAATACTGTGGCTTTCATCTTATACACCGGAGCCTCTATTTTTCTACTAATTCGAACATCATTTATCTTATGGCCAATGTATCTGGTTACCCCATATTTCCAAGCTTATCCTGCAATGATGGCCGTCGCGGTAAGTTATATTTTGACCTTGTCATCTAGAGCTCTATATGTATGGGGCGTGAGCTAATCCTGCATATAAATTATTCTTGTTCTATTACCGGGGAGACATATTTCTAATTGTTTTTGTTATAATTAGTTTTGCAGACTGTGTAACGTGGCGTTATTAACACTAGAATGGTTACTGATTTTTTGACAATTATGGAAGTTTGAAAACTTAAAGTTACAATGAGTATTACATGCGTTAGTTTGGCCATTCTTCATGCTAATGATCATCACCATATGTTTAACTCAAATAATTCATTTATATAGAAAAATGCAACATTTTAGTCCATGTTTTGTATTCTGTAAAAAAACACAAAATCCAAAACGTGTTTTTAACGTTTTCGAGAACGTCTTTGAATATGTGGTAAAGTGTTAGAAAAGGCAATATTTGACAACTATAGGCTTTTAAATAGACAACTCTATCTAAACTGACAATGACATCTTTGTTTTTCAAAATCGATCCAATTGCAAGTTTCTTTAATTTTTTTTTCAGGTTTTTGGTCTGGTCGCCGCATTGGTTCACGCTATCGACGCTGTTTGTGCACATAGAGCTTTTAAACAACGAGGCTAAACAACAACAGCGAAAAAAAAAAATGCGTTTTTTGAAGGTTAGAATGTAGTCAGACGTATTTGCGCATGCGTGAGCACACTTCATACTACAGGTGGATAAACAGATGTTCACTCAAGAGTCAGAAAACAGCCTCAACAAATACGCAAAATTCCATCCGACAAAAGAAAAAGTTTTCACATATTTTGACGTTATCGACTATGATTTCGAAAAATTCGAAAGCTTACGATATATGACTATAGGGCCTCAAGTTCTGAATAATATTCTTGTTGGTCTATGTCTTAGAACAAAAGAAAGTTTCAATCAAAATAACTGTTTCTAAAACTTTATTTCTTTCGTTAATTCTAGATTGCAATTATATGTATTTATTATGTACGACATATTGACTCGTGTGAGTGTTTTAAATAAAGTGTTTAATATTTTCAAGCATAGTATTTTTATAGTATCGTTTTTTGTTGTTTTTTACTTGAAGTTAGATACGAATTTTAAACATTCTAACGTAAATGATTAAAGAGAACATGGAGAATTACACTCGTAATTGTTCAGAGCGTTGTATCTAAGCATCAGTTCGTAATAACAAAATGTGTCTGTGACTGAGCGAGACATTGATGGGAGGGGGTTGAAATGTATGCAAGATCTAAACATGTAAATCTACGGGGATAAGGGGATATCGCTCGCAGGTAATGCAGACATGTAGTGGATGCCGCCTTTAAATTATTAACAGGTATTAACCTGCTCCCACTAGGATTTCGACCACTGTTTCTTCCGCCTAAAAAACATCCTACGTACCCAACTAGCTAAACAGTTAGGTCAGAGATTCCTATGTTTCTGGTATAGCCATCCCTAATTTTGATATGCAAGCCATAAGAAAGATAACCAATCAGCGACACTCGCTGCCTGGAGCGGCTACTTTCAACCTAATAGTGATATTCATGTCAATTTTACATTGTACCTATAGTACAAAGCGCGTTTGGTATCACGTCTCTGAATCTAAGACCCTCGGATCCCCTGTTGGATATGCTAATTGCCATGTTTTGGTCAACTAACTACCCATATATATATATTTGTTTGTTTGTTTGTAGTTAAGCACAAAGGTACACGGTTTCTAGCGTTACAAGTCGCAGACACGCCGATGTGCCATTGGGGGGGGGGGCGATATATATATATATATATATAATCACCGTTAAATATCAGGTTTTAAAGTTAATACATTTATCAGCTTAAACACGATATAACTACTTTTTTTTTCTTTTGGTAAATACTTTTCTAAGAAGCTTTTCATCACTTTTTAATCATAAGAATAGAATAGAATAAAAAGGGAGATAGATTAAAACAGTAATACGAAATTGTAAAGAAAAAAAAATTTATATAAAAATAATCCCAGCCCTAGGCAATTTAATTATTTCGTTAAAATATTATTCATGACTAAACATCAAACACGACAATCTTTGAAATAATTGGTACAACGTTTCTGAATTTTTCTTATTTCGTTATTTTTTTATTTCGAATACAAATTGAATATTGTAGTGTTTTATTAATTAGATTCTTTTGACGAATCAAACACTAGAACGGCAAAAATAAAACCCAAAATGTTATTGAATATTTTAAAATTCAGAATAAAACTATCAAGTATAACAAGTACAATGAAGTGAATAATTGATTTGAATAACCTTGTTAAACGGTGACATATTTTCTTTATTCTTCTTTGAACGAACTTGTTGAGATTAAACAATAACGAATAAGATACTTCCCCATGTAAAGGAACTGAATTGCTTAATATTGACAACTTGGAAATTTTTTTACGTAGAGAAGACTTTCACCATGCACGTAACAAGAGTTATTAACTAAACAATTTGTTAAATAAATTTAGTTATCACTCTTTCTTTCTTTATGTATTATGTTACTTCAAGTCATTCATGCCAATGTCTTTGGAATTTAAATTTGCACCTTTAATGGATGAGGTTTAATTGATAAAATAATGTAAAGTTATGAAAAGGGGACCTTTTGCTAAAGAGTTGCGTTTAAAAACATATCCTGCTTTTGAGGGCTCATCGGATTATACAGTGTTCTAATTATATTCAACTCGGTGACAAATGTCATGAAAAAGCATGTTATTAGACGAACCAGAAATGCCACTGTTTTAATTGACATCGTAAAAATAATTGTAAAACTAGTTTAATGGATCTTTACGCATTTCTAATACCATCAAGAATAATGGACAAACGGATACTTCTCTTGAATTTAAAGTTAAACATATAAAGACACATTTCAAATAGATCTAGTTATTATTAAGTACAAAGCTACACAACAGACTCAATAATCAACAATAATTACCCTACCCGAACTCGTATTTTATATTGCTCAAATTGTTCTAAAACTTCGGAAAAAGTGAAATTTTGCAAGGCTTTAGGCTCCAATTAATAATTAATTCGTTAATTCGTTCACTGGTTTCTTTAAATAATGAAATGGGCCACTAATCTTAATTTGGGAAGTTAGTAAAGAAACACGAAAAATGCTGCTTCAGTATCAACTGAATAAAGAAACTCGACGAATGCTGATTCAATTTCAACTGAATAAAGAAACTCGACGAATGCTGATTCAATTTCAACTGAATAAAGAAACACGAAGAATGCTGTTTCACTGTCAACTGAATAAAGAAACTCGACGAATGCTGCTTCAATACCGAAGCAGCATTTGTCGAGTTTCTTTATTCAGTTGAAGAAGAGCTCCGTTTGTTGCTTTTCTCACTATATAAAGAGGCAATATTTTACGTGTTTCTTTACTCCGTTCATACAGAGATAGCATTTTATGTTTCTTTACTTCGTTTATACAAAGATAGTATTCTCCGTGTTTGTTTATAGAGAGACAGTATTTTTCGTTTTTCTTTAATCTGTTTATAGAGTTTCTTTATTCAGTTGATATTGAAGCAGCATTTGTCGAGTTTCTTTAATCAGTTGATATTGAAGCAGCATTTGTCGAGTTTCTTTAATCAGTTGATATTGAAGCAGCATTCGTCGAGTTTCTTTATTCAGTTGACAGTACATAAACAGAGAAAAAAAACCAAAATGAAAGAAGAATATTGCCTCTCTAGAGCAACACATGTAATTCTGCTTCCTTACAAACAGAGTAAAGAAAGACGAGGAATCCTGCCTCCATATGAACAAGATAAAAAAAATCGAAGAATGCGCCTCTGTATAGAACAGAATAACGAATCGCATGGAATGCTGCCTCCGTACAAACCCAGGAAAGAAACACCAAGAATGCTGCCTTTATATAAAAAGAGTAAAGCAACACGAAGAATACCACCTCAGTATAAACAGTTTAATTAAATACATGATGTGCTTTTTCAGTATAAACAGAGTAATTAAACATGCGGAATCCTTCTTCTGTATAACAAAATATAGAAACATATATATATAATTCTGCCTCTGGATGAAAAAAAATAAAGAAACGGGAACACTGGCTATGTATAAATAGTACATTAATGTGTAATGTAATCAACTGACCTCAACACGACGCAAGGTTTCAAAGTGAGAGGCCAGAGTGTCAAATAAAACAAATGTAAAACAAAACACTTTAACTTTAGTTTCTCACTCTGATCTACATTGTCAGCGATTTATAAGTATTATCGCGCATGGTATGTTTGTGTTTAACTACAAAAAAACTAAAATTTTTTACACTGAATTTGAATACCTGTAGAAACTGATGATAATATTGTATTATTTTCAAAGCTTTAGGTTTGATGTTAACCAAAATTAATGTTCATATAGGCGATTTTAACGACATCTGGTTTTATTCTTCATTAAAGTACTAATCCTAAGTTCTAACATGTAGAAAACTCTAGTTGACATAATGTCCACCGGTGGGAAAGCAATAAGTTTACGGACTTAAAACGCTAAAATCGGGGGTTTGATTCCACGCAGTAAACACAGCAGATAGCCTAATGTGGCTTTGTTTTAAAAAAACAAATAAGTTGACATAATCAATATTATTTTGTTCATCATACTGTGGATAAGGTTATTTGTGACTCGTGCACGACGGAATTATCAGCATCTGCCATCTCTGTGTTGGGGCGTTCTTCTTATCGCGTCATTTGTTTCGAGGTTGTTTTGTACTTTAAAGATCAAAACCTACATGTGGATGATACAGAACATATTAACAATGCTAAAAGTGCAGATAAGATGAAAAACCACGAGACCTCATGAAAGTCGGCGTAAGCTGCTCGAACCATTTAGAACAAGAAAAGCTGTGGAAAATGTAATGTGTAAACTTGGAGATTTTAAGTGATCAAAATATAATTTATTTTATCAACAAGAAATTGGGGAGACGCAGGTAAGATATGAATATCTTAATAATAATCATTAAACTAATGGTAGGGATTTGACGATGAAAGAAAGGTAAAACTACTAAGATCATTCTTCTGAATTAACTATTAAAACATAGTGGGTAAAGCTTTTGTTTGTTTTCCTCCATCGCTAACTAAACAAACGTGCTGATAGTTACGATTTAGTTTGTTTGTTCACCAGAACTACACCTTATATATATACAGAGGGCTAAACTTTGGAAAATAACTACCAGTTCGTAAAAACTCGCTCCTGAAAATACTACTTTTAACTTAACAGCAGGATTGACTGTCACTCCTGTATCACATCCACAACTGAGATTCGACCCACCTTGGGTCTACTTTGTACTGTTGTAGTCATGGAAAGATACATCCTATAATTTTGAATGTACTAAGTGTAGCTTCACGAAATTTGGCACACATTACAAGTCTGTTGTAGACAAAAAATCAAATGTTTCAATAAGATGTTTTTACTAAAGATTTCTCTGTAAATTTACGAAGCCTTTACTGAATCACTCTGAGTTTCATGTTCCAATTACGTAACTTATAGAGACTCTTAAATGAATATCAAGTTTTTCAATAAAACTATATTTTATCTACCCTAATACTAAATGAAGCGAAATCAAACTACAGTGAAATGAAACGTTGAAAAATATGAAATATAATGAACAATAAGATTATTTCTTCCTTAATTTAAAACCATAATGGATTTAAGATTCTCGTATTACTTATCTTCAGAATTTCAAGTGTTAACCTTTTCACATCTGGTTTCTTATAATTCAATGGTTTTATTGCCTGGCTTGTTACCACAGAAGCAGTTTATTCATCCAAGAAGGAACACATTAACAGTTTCTTGTACACTTCACGCGTGTTAACTAGGCGAACGTTGTATTTGCCTGCATAATTCTACTAGGCCTAATTTTTTCCTGAGTTTGTTGTCCAAAAGAAATCAATGTCTTTCATTTTGCATTTTAGAACAAACAAAAATATCAGGTACTAGATTAAAATGTCCTAAAAGTAGTATAATTTTTAGCTTAGCTATAAATAGGTTAAACACTTATTTATTGCATAGAGAAACTGTTTTCCTTAACACAAATCAGGCATTTCTTTTCAACTACCGTCTTTCATCACCAAAAAATAATCAAAGATGATTGTATAATTGTCTTGAAAGATATAGAGGAATGGGAGGGCTTCTCTAGTGGTTTGACAAATTTAATGATATCTCAGCAAATCAAAAAAGTAGAAGGTTTAAATTTTATATTATTGCTTTTAACATCGACAGAAATTCATCCTTGATCACAATAGGTTTTATTATTATTATTAGTTTTGTTTTAATGCGTATAGTGTAATCATTAGATATATATATATGTGTGTGTGTGTGTGTGTATATATATATGTATTTTGGATTTTTTTATGTTAACAGTATAACAGACTATCTGAACATGGAGAGGATGATCAAGTTAAACAAATTAGTCACAGTGGAACCAGTCTTGTTTCTTCACACGGTTGCAACGTTACTGGAGATAAGCATCTTTCAAGATCTGATACGTATGAAAGTCTGCCTACAAGAAGCTGGAGTCCACAATACCAGTGTGTGTGAGCACCTTGACAAATACGTGTTCCGGAGTGTTCAAGATTCCACGGTCATCTGGGTTCGATACTACAACGTTGTACTAAACGGATGTGGATTGATTGGATGTACTTACTTAGGCTCTTGGGGTGATCGTTTTGGACGAAAGATACCGCTGGTTATCCCTCCACTTGGGTCCATTCTCGCTTGTATAAATTACATCATTGTGTCTACTTACATTTTGAAAGGACGTGTGTCATTGTTGTTGATAAGCGCTGTAATTACTGGCTTTTCTGGTGGATCTATTGCTATGGCTGCCAACTCCTTTGGTTATCTGTCAGACATCACTACTGAAGCCAACCGAACACTTCGAACCGTTATTTTAGAGGCCATGCTCTTTATTGGTGGTACCATAGGGTTATATATAGGTGGCACTATGTTACGTGTAACAGGTTATAGCAGTGTGTTTCTACTTGAAATGACTCTGTGTGCAATTGACATTCTGTACATCCTCTTTTGTCTAAAAGATATTAAACCGATCAATGAGAGCCAGCCTGTTAAAGCCACAAACCAACCTGTTGAAGATTCAAACCAACCCGTTAAAGACACAAACCAACCCGTTAAAGACACAAACCAACCTGTTAAAGACACAAACCAACATGATAACGATTCAAACCAACATGTTAAAGACTCAAACCAATCTGTTAAAGACACAAGAGGGGTCTGTCAGAAACTCTTTGGAATTGATCACGTCCTTGATATGCTCAAGACGACCTTCAAACAGAGGCCACAGAATAAAAGAAAGTATATATTATTAGTGGGTATAGCCACCACATTAGCTTACTACGGGTTAGAAGGTACGTAAAGTTTTTCTGTTTACTTTCTATATAATAAAGTAATCCTTGTTTAAAATGGTCAGATAGATTTCTACACAGCGTGGTCACAAGTAAATAGACACCACCTTTTCAGAAAAAATGAAATTTTTCAGGCATATTCACATGGATTGATATATTTATAATTTAATTAATATCTAGTAGATCTTCCTTTCGCTTCGTGGAGTTCGTTGATCCTTTGGGGCATCGTGAGAATCATCTCG